ATGCATAAAGGAGTGAATGAAAAAAATGGATGGATGGAAGGATGGATGGATGGATGGATGGATGGATGGATGGTTGGATGGATGTAGGACAGATGAGCTTTCCATCCAATTGTCAATACAAATAGGCAATTTTAAATTTCTTCCACCAGATGGCGATAATGAGAGATTTACGCTTCCTTGTGATATAGAAAAACAACCAACCAACCAACCAACCAAAACCCATAGTAGAAGAAATAGAAGCACAAAAGAGCAGTTTAAGATGGAAAAAACAAAATGTTTGTATCAGCCATAGCATGTCGGGAGTCTGTGATCTTTTGGGACTTGTAATAAGTCCTCACCATACATCCTTTTTATGCAGGGGTGACTATTTATTCATAATTAAGTTTCAGTAAAATAGCTGTGTTCAAAAGCAATCTTATGTGTTATAAAAATTATAGGGCAATTCTCATAATCAAAATTACTATCCTTGGTTTATATATACAGATATTTATATTTTCATTTGTTTTATACTAATCTCTTAGTTAAATGATGCCTCCCTTGGAGGCGAGGCTGCCTGGGAACAATTGCTATAGACTGTGTGCCTCCAGGAAATCCAGCCCTGCTATTAGACACCTGCCAAAAATTGTATAAAATAAGCTTGCCTAGGGCTCATTCATCCTGTTAGTAAAGAATTGTGAATAATATTAGATTAGTGTCCATCCCTTAATTTGAAAGCTTTTGGAAAATAAGAAAATCAGTTTTAAAATCCAGCATTATAGCTGTACATCAGGAGGGGGGAGGTGCCTCATTCTTGGCAAATAAAGATAAGAATATGAAGATATTTTCAGATGGAATCAAGCAAGTATTTCCTCTTATTAATTATCTCCCCTAAATAAGCTGTGAATTAGAAACTAACAACCAGACTCAGGAATACTTCATTATACATTACACAGGCTATCGTCTGTCTGCACTTTCCTGAAGATAATCAGAAAGGAAAAGCTTTCTAAACTTTCTTGTAAACCCTTGGTCACTGGAATGTCAAGAGGCTGGCAAGGGTGTTGGAGAAGGGAAGCTAACATTTACTGAGTTTCTAAACACTGTCACACTTAAGATTAAAATGGAGCCTTATCACACCCTCATGATGTAGGTATGGGAGGCAGTGTAACACAGTGAACAATGGGAACTTTGAAGTCATTGACTTGATTTCCAGTCCCAACTCTCACCACTTTCTTAGCTGCAGAGTCTCTGGCAAGTTCTTTCTCTCCAATCTTGTCACCTCATCTGTGAGCTGGGAATAATATTCCATACCTCATAAGGTGTTTATGAAGAACAAATATAAAGCACCTAACAGAGTCTTGGAACAGAGCAGATATTATCCAAGATTCACTATTATTATTACTTTTATTTTTCTTAGTGTCATTATGCTGCTACTGCTGCTGCTGACGATGAAGGTGAAGTCAATTTTGCAGATGAGATAGAGGCCCAGAGACCTTCAGTAACTTGCTGCAAGCTGCACAACTAGTAAGACTGAAAGGCTACATGTAGCACAGTGTCTGGCACTGTAGTAGGTGCCCCATCAACATGCTTACTTTCTCCCTTCCTGACTTAAAATTCAATTATATTCTCATAATTTTGTTCATTAAAAATAATGAATTAACCCTGGCTGGTGTGGCTCAGTGAGTTGAGTGCCCGCCTGAGAACCAAAGGGTCACTGGTTCGATTCCCAATCAGGGTACATTCCTGTGTTGCAGGCCAGGTCCCCAGTAGGGAAAGCCCAAGAGGCAACCACACATTGATGTTTCTTGCCCTCTCTTTCTCCCTCCCTTCTCCTCTCTCAAAAAATAAATAAAATCTTTTTAAAAAAGTGAATTAACCTCAACTCTAGCTAGACTGATTCAAGATGCTACCACTGACATAGATTTGTGAAAATTAAGAATATTTTCTTCTACCTATAGGTAGTAAATACATGGTGATGAAGAAAACAACAAAGAAGATTCCAGACCTCACAAAAGAGATGATCACTGGGCCCAAAGTTTTGCCTAATGTAGGATAATTCACTTCTCTCCCAAAGAGGTACATATTTTCCTTCTTAGGTCTCCATAAAAATCAGCAAGTCACTGGCAGATAAGATTCCAAGTTTCCAGACTTTCACCTTCTGGATCTTTATACTTCAGTTTATATGTGAGTACACTGAAGGACAGGGCTAGCTACAAATGTAAACAACCTGAACATGTGGTTATACCAATAAAGGGAAGATAGCTTCAGATTTTTGTTCGTGGCTTTTTTTCTAGTCTTACCCTACACATTCTCTCTGGGTAATCACATTAATCCCCGGGTAACTCCTACTATAAGACACTGGTGAACTCGAATCTACGTATATCAACAGTACACATCTTACCTGAAGACACACATTTCTAACTGCCTGATGAGAAAATCCACTTGGATGTCACCTGAGCATTTTAAACTTCACATGTCCAGAAACCAACTTGTTCTCTTCCCTTCAAGTCCCTTCCCCCATGTTCCCTGTCTTGGTAAATGAATCTCCATTCTCCCAGTATCCCAAACTTGAAATTTCAAGTGGTCCTTCACCCTGTTATCTCTTTCAGTCATGACAAGTAATCAATTACCAAGTCGTATCAATGCCACCACACTAATATCTCTTGAATATGTTTCTCTACCACCACTGACATAGCCAGAGTTCAAACTTTTAGCACTGTTCTTAGCCTGGGTTGATTCAGTAGCTTCACAAATTGTCTCCCTTTATCAAATTTTCCCCAACTGCAATCAACTTTCTACACCACTGTTTATACATCTAACATTCTTTTCTACAGTTCTCATCCTAAAAATTACAATTCATCATGAAATTCCCTATCACTTAAAAGATTTCTTCTTTAAATCTTAAAGGGGGAAAAAAGGAACCCCTAAAATGGGCATGCAAGGCTTTTCATGATTTGGCTCCACTGTACCTTACTCTAGCCATACTGAAATTTTCACTTTTCCAGGACTTCTTACAACTTTATGGTTTTGCACCTGCTAATTTGCCCTACTAAAATGCCCTTCTCCTAGTAAACTCTTCTTCACATTTTGAGACCTAGATCAAATACTAAATTTCCCTGGACCCCAATTCTCATGTTCTTCCACAGTACTTTATTAATGTACAGAATTACTTGCTACATTTAATTGCAATGATTTCTTTGACATCTATTTTCTCCACCATGAGTTTCAAGCGGAAAATATCATAGTCATCCCCATCCATATCTGACTCAAGGCCTGACACATAGCAAGTGGTAAGAAAGAGCCCATTGAGTAATAGGTTATTTGAAAGAACATTAGGATGGCATCATAGAAGATAAACATCTGTCATCCATAAATTCATTTTGATCATAATGCACAGAAACAAAATCTGAAGCTGGCTAGCTCTTTACACTGACTCAGTACAAAATTGCTTCTGTTTTTAGAACTGTCACTAGATGTGTATTCGATTTTTTTAAATCCTCACCTGAGGACATTTTTCCATTGCTTTTAGAGAGAGGAAGGGCCAGAGAGAAACACAGGTGTGAGAGAGAAGCATCGACTGGCTGTCTCCCATATGAGCCTGGACTGAGATAATACATATTTGAACCCATAACCTAGCCATGTGCCCTGACCAGGAATCGAGCCCACAACCTTTTGGTTATGTGACATCAGTGCAACCAAATGAGGCACACTGGCCAGGGCATAGAAGTGTATTCTTATTTCAAGTCAAAACATGTTACGTCACTCACTATACTCCAAACCTTGAAGCTACAACTTGCAACTGTTAAGTCCACATTCTTTACAGACAAACTTACAAAGAAACATTTCTTAAAGCATAATAGAGCCAAAAAATTCCCATAGGAAAACATTTCCCAATCTCCAGGTAGGCAGAATAATAAAATTATTTTGTGTCAAATCTACAGTCTTTAACCAAATCAATAGGGAAAATTAAAATGAATTACTTGAAAAAATAGATATAAAACTTTTACCAATTATGCTAAGAACTAAAAATGTGCAATGTAGTTAATATAATAAACATTTAATGTATATTTCAATGTTAGCATGACTACCTTAAATTTTTAACTCAATTTAAAGTTTCTCTATTATGAAATTCAAATATTCATTAGACTATAGTAGTTTTCATTTGTAATAACTACATTTTACATGTCTCTGGTAGTACCTGAGAATTAAGATTGTGGGTGATGCTGCTGCTACCAGCTCAAGCTACATACTTTGAGACCAACAGATCTAGATAAGCAAATCTCTTCGTTTTTTTAAAATCTCAGCATTGACTTATTCTTTAAAAAAAGGTCACATGTAACAATGTCAGTATCCTTTTTCTATGTAGTTAAAATAGTGTCAAATATTGCTTGTATTTCAATTGAAAAGAAATAAGAAAACTGTATTTCTATCCACCTGTTTCTATGTGTTAGAAACTTTTCTGTCAATCCATAACTGACAAAACAAGGCTGTCCAAAGGATATGCTTCACAGGATGGCTATGGCAGGAAATGTTCCAACTAATTCTTACTTTCCCTTAACACTATGCTGCAGGGGGCTTTGCTGCTCTGTGAAAAGGCTTTCTGGGCACCTGTTTGGTGGTGTCCACTAACCTTTCTAAAGCTCTGTGAGAAGCCAAATATTTGAGAATTTCATCCCATATAGGCAATGGCTGCAAAAGCACTTATCTATTTACTTTTCATCTTACTATGAATTATTTATCCTTCAGTCTGTAAATGGCTATTTGTAGGATTAGACAAATTTTGAATGCTCCGATAAGAGGATTGTTGTATCTAAATTCCTGCATAATCTGTAAAAAGCACATGTGACCTACAACCTCAGCTGGGCTGGCATATGACAAAGATTCACTAAACATCTGTAAACAGTGTGGATTATTAACCACTTAACGACAGCAAATTTGTTTTTGAAATATAAGTTTATGCATACAGACATTCCCCAATGAAAAATAATATTGGTTACAAAAATACCCCCCCCCAAATAACATACCTTGAGTAGATTTCTCTACTTCTTTCCTCTTTCTGCTCTGGCTATTGTAATTCATCCTCAGCTCTTGGTTATACTCATGCAGAGTTTCTCTGGAGTTGTATGACTGTCTCGGTTTTCTTCCATCTTCACTCTCATCGGAAGAACTGGTATAGGCTAGATCCATTTCATGCTTGACTTTAGACAGAGGCTGGTAGGGTTTGCAGTCTGTTTGCTCCATCTCTGATTAAGCAAGCTCTGTTTCATGAAAGAAAGCAAGAGGAACTCCTTTAATGTTAGCAGCCCTGAAAGAGGGAGGGAAAAACATAAGCTGTCTTAGGTTTGTCCTTTTGTGAGGAAATGTATCTGGCAGATTCACAATTGGTCCTGATCACACTATCAAAGGAGTGGAGCAAAAGACAAACTAGATGACATGAAGCTAGCCGGAGGCAATAATAACACTCACTCTGAGTTACATGCATACATTGTCAAGAATTTAGGATTAAGCTGGAGGTTGCAGTATCAGAAATACTCAAGGTAAAAGACAGACAGACCTGAAAAATACTTGTTTTGGAAGGCAAATAAAGGACAATGCTGTTGTATGCTACCTATGTGTTTTTAAAGCCTGTAGTTTGATTAAAAACCATTACAAGATTTGAAAGTGGCCAGGAGTACAAATATTAACCCAGCACACCCCACATTTGAAATGAAAGCCAGTAAGGGAACTACATTCTGAAAAATGCACCTTTTTGCCTCTGGTTTAATACTGCATTTAAGACAGAGGCTCTGAGGAAGGGAAGGATTCTGAGTGAGAGAATCTCATGAAATAGTGTCCTTGAGGGGCACTGAGCTCTTTGTGTTCATATTGTGGCTTTTGAGCCTCGGGCTTGCAGAGCATATTTAATGAGCTGAGTGGTGGTAAATTCTTGTTCTTCATAGTATCGAAAGAATGTAAACAACATTTCTGGGTGAGTACACTGGTGGAGGAACAGCAGGATCTAAATCAGGTCTAGAAATAAAAATTGGAAACTTCATGATAAATCACTGAAAGAACCCCATTCTCCACAGAATGCTGGGCTAGGAGCCACTGAGGCTCTGAGGACCAGCGAGGCATCATCTGCCTTATTCAGACCTGAGAGGGGTCAAGAAGAACAAATGCCATCTGAGGTGTCAAAGTCACCTGAGAAGTTTAAAGCCCCAGGAAAAACGTGCTTATGTTCACTCTTTACATTATTTGATCATGACTTTCATCCACTGCTGCAATTCTGCAACTTGGTCCTTTCATATGATGTTAAAAAAAAAAAAAACTACAGAGGGGCGGGGTGGCTGGGATGGGAGTAAAAGACAGAAAACTATACTTGAACAATGATTAAAAAAAACTAGTTGGAAAACAAACAACTTTATTATTTTATTTTATACTGAAATAAAATAATATTTTCAGCTTTTTACCATGTGTCTTTTTCAAATCTACGGACATCTAGATGGTGGCTTCTTAACTATGTAGAGTACCTTACCTTTCCAATTTCCCATTGCATGTGTAACAGACACATACATGCAAAAGCACTCAATAAAGCATATGGATGGACAAATATGATATGCATTCAATGGTACATAATGCTTTGCAGCACCAACAAAGTTTTGCAAGTCAGTCTTATTTCCCTAACCTACTGTTAAGGTCCTCGAAGGCAGAATTTGAGTCTCATACTTCTTTGTGCCCCCTATGGCACTTAGCACTACTCTACGCACATACATAGTAGAAACTATTTAATTTCTGAACCTATAGACTCTATAAATGGTCTACAGAGAAACTTACTGTGGTTTGAAAATAATGTCAAAGATGAGTATACTTAGAGAAACAAATCAGATTACATATTATAAATAAATATATACTGATGATTCAACAACAATCTAATCTCATGGTAACTCGTGACTCTACATATTGTCTAAACCCTTATACCAGGAATGAACATTGGTCTCGCCCCTGAGCCACAGACTTGACTGTCCAACTCAGTATCTCCGCTTACATATGTAAAAGGCATCTTACACTTAGTATGTTTAAAACTGAGCTCCCGATTCCCACCCACTCCTGAACTTGTTCCTCTCACAGTCTTCTCTACCTTGGAAAATGGCAACTCCACTCTTCTGTTTGTCCACGTCACAGAACATAAAGTTATCCTGGATTCCTCTTTCACATTTCACATGCACTCCATCAGGAAAGCCCATCAGTGCAGCCTTTGAAATATATCCAGAATCTGATGACACTTCTCCACTTCTCTACTACCATACTGGTTCAGGCCATCACCTCCCCCATGAATTAATGCAATAGCCTTCTAATTGGTCCGCTGCTTATGCCATCACTATCACTCCCTTATAGCACATTCCCCAAACTATAGCCAAAATGAAGCTTTTAAAATCTAAGCCATATCCTCATGCTTCCTTCCAAATAAAAGCCAAAATCCTTACAAACACCTAGAAGGTCCACCTCAACCTAACCTAACCTAGCCTCTCCAAACACATGCCCTGGTAATTTCCCTGTCTCGTGTACTCTACATGCACTAGCCTTCTTGCTGTTTCTGAAAAGAACAGGTACGTTCCCACCTCAGATCCTTTGCAACCTCCCATTGTACACCACAAAAAATGTCATTTCTCACCTTCTTTTCCTGTCTCTCATAGTAGTTATCAACAGATGATACTATTACATTTGGGTTATTTGTTGATTGTCTGCCATCTGTCTCTCCCACTAAAATGTAAGCTCTATGCTGGTAGGTACTTTGATCTGTTCAATTCATCAGTATAGCCCTAGAATAAGCAAAATATTTAGCATACAGTAGTCATTTGAATAACACTTGCTGAATCAACTAAATAAAATCCACCAAGCACTCACAACAGGGGCCAGAGAGAATGAGGAAATGAATAGGCCACATTCTCTGCCCAAGAAGCTCACAGCTTAATGCAAGTGATAACCAATTCTACTACAAAGCAGAATGCAATGACTCTCATAAAAAAAGACAAAGTAGTGTTTGAGGACTAACAATGAAGACATTGGGAAAGGACTGTACTTGATTAACTTAGTTGTTCCTAACATCACCACGATCACTTCAAATCCCATTCAGCATCTATCTTATAAGAGCAGTTTTAGTTGCTTTATTCTTAGCTTCTCATTGCATGTTGGTCAGAGGGTACACAGTTATGTGAGGGTCCAAAGCAAGTGTCCCTGAAATGTACCACTTTGACATACAGATTAATTTGAACTAAAATCAGTTAAAGCCTAACGAGCTCAGGAACAGTTTTTTACCTTCTTTTTCTTAAACAGAGATTCAGACAGAAAATCTTGCTTTAGGAAGGGAGCCTTAACTTACACTCCAAGTCTGGCAGGCTAGATACCCCACCCATTCTGTCCCATTGTTTCTTTTTTTAAATTTTATTTAGTTATTTTTCAAGTACAGATTTTTTTTTCTCCCATCCCAGCCCACCCCGCCCCGTGCTCCCCACCTCCCTCCCATTTTCACCTCTCTTAGTTCTTGTCCCTGTGTCCTTCATACTTGTTCCTCCAAATCCTTCCCCTTAAATTCCCTTCCCTCTCCCCTCTGGTCACTGTCCCCTTGTTCTCTATTTCAGTGTCTTTGTTTTTATTCTGCTTGCTTGTTTGTTTTGTTGTTTAGCTTCCTGTTAAAGGTGAGATCATATGGTATTTGTCTTTCAACACTTGGCTTATTTCACTCAGCATAATGCTTTCCAGTCCCATTGTTTCTTAGTTCCCAAGCAAAAATTTTTCCTCTGCTATGTGTTTCACTTCTCCTCTATCTGTAAATCACCCACAGGAACTTCTGAAATTCAACACCCCATCCCCCTTTTTCTCTTTTGTCCAAAAATATCTTACATTGTACCCAATGTTGCCTTACTGTCTTTGGAATTTTCATGCTTCTGTAAACTCCCCATGCACAATTATTAAAATTTTGATTTTCTCCTGTTAATATGCTGTATGTTATTTGATTTATTCAACCAGATGGGGGAACTAAAGAGTAATGAATCTTTTCCTGGATTATAGGCCTTGATTTTGCTACAAACAGTGCAGAGTGAGAATTGTACCAATAGCAGACATCAGAGATGCATCTTTGTAGCTGAAGATTGTATTTTCACCCTTTCATCAATAAAATTCATCTAACTTCATTTCAGCTAACACATATACAGAATTCTTTGTTCATTAAAAATGAAAGTTTATCAGGTAAGAGTGGAGAGCTATTTTCCACATAAGGACATAGATAAGACAAAAATACAAATCCAGGACCTTATACTTAAAAATAACTTAAAATACTTTCTGTTAAAATACACAGAGAAAAAGATATCATTTTATTTTCTAAAGTATACTTCCCATCTGTCACCAGGCTTTGCAATCAAGTCTTTGGTTCATTCTGACTGGAATTAACATGGCAGAGGCATAGCCAAAATAACACTCACTCTTAAGTATCTGTTGGTGATGAGTTTACACTTATCTAAACTCTACTCAAAACTAACAACCTAAATTTAAAAATGAAAAACATCTCACTTCCAATGACTAATGGTGAGTTTTGGTATTTATGATTTATCATGTTCAAGTCACCCTTATATTTTATGTATGAAAATCTAAAAATTCTCTTTTCCTCAGTATTTCTTTGCAATGAGAGAAAGAGAGAGAGGAAGAGAGAGAGAGATTCCTATAGTTGTTTCAAATCATTGTTGAAGGTCAAATTACAGCTATTCACACCTATTCTTCAGCCAGGGAATGTCAGACCTATTCAAGGTTACTGACTGTCCTTGGAAACAATCTCCTTAAAACCACAAAACTGATAAAAACCAAAGAAAAAAAATAATCCTTCCTTGTTCCCTGACTTCAACCACAACTTCTTGTCTTAAAATTTGTGAGACACTTCTCAAAAAAAAAAACCCATACAAATGGCCAATTGACATATGAAAAGATGTTCAACATCACTAATTATCAGAGAAATGCAAATCAATAAAGCGCAATGAAATATCATCTGACACCAGTCAGAATGGCCATCATAAAGAAATTAACGAACAAGTCTTGGAGAGGTTGCAGAGAAAAGGGAACCCTACTGCACTGTTGGTGGGAATGCAGACTGGTGCAGCCACTGTGGAAAACTATGGAATTTCTTCAGAAAACTAAAAACAAAACTGCCTCAAGAACCAGTGATTCCACTTCTGGGAACTTATATAAAGAAACCTGAAACACCAATCAGATATAATATAAGCTCTCCTAT